CACTAACAGAATAAATGCTACCCAAGCAATAAGCTTTGATAATTCTATTTACTCACGTGCAGGTCCCACTCAAATCCAACCCCTCTCACTAATGTATTTTTTTTTCAACAAGTCGGTCGTCTCCCACCGAGGCAGGGTGACCCAAAAAAGAAAGAAAATCCCCAAAAAGAAAATACTTTCATCATCATTCAACACTTTCACCACACTCACATATTATCACTGTTTTTGCAGAGGTGCTCAGAATACAACAGTTTAGAAGCATATACGTATAAAGATACACAACATATCCCTCCAAACTGCCAATATCCCAAACCCCTCCTTTAAAGTGCAGGCATTGTACTTCCCATTTCCAGGACTCCCTTCACTAAATATTACCCTGCTCACACTCCAACAGATCGTCAGGTCCCAAGTACCATTCGTCTCCATTCACTCCTATCTAACACGCTCATGCACACTTGCTGGAAGTCCAAGCCCCTCGCCCACAAAACCTCCTTTTCCCCCTCTCCCCAGCCCTTTCGAGGATGACCCCTACCCCGCCTTCCTTCCCCTATAGATTTATATGCTTTGAAACTACCCAAGGTTTTAGCATAGACAGGACCTTGGGTAAAGGGATGGGGACTGTTGTGGCAAGCTTCCTTGTGAAGAACATTGTGATGGGCAACTGAGACTGTTTCTTCATACTTACAGAGTTTTGTAGGGAATTATGCCTCTATCAATGTCCTCAACATAAATATTATTTGGTGGATGGGAATTCGTGAATGTGTGAAGCCCGCAAAAGTTGAAAAGACGAATGTTGAGGGAGACCTGTATTCTGTTTTTTGAAAATACAACTTATGTGTTATTTAACCATTTCAACTAAGTTACTGAATTTAAGTACAAATAAATTAAACATGGGTATATTATTTTCGTCCTCGAAAGGGTTGGAGAGAGGGGGTAAAGGAGGTTTTGTGGGCAAGGGGCTTGGACTTCCAGCAAGCGTGCGTGAGCGTGTTAGATAGGAGTGAATGGAGACGAATGATACTTGGGACCTGACGATCTGTTGGAGTGTGAGCAGGGTAATATTTAGTGAAGGGATTCAGGGAAACCGGTTATTTTCATATAGTCGGACTTGAGTCCTGGAAATGGGAAGTACAATGCCTGCACTTTAAAGGAGGGGTTTGGGATATTGGCAGTTTGGAGGGATATGTTGTGTATCTTTATACGTATACGCTGCTAAACTGTTGTATTCTGAGCACCTCTGCAAAAACAGTGATTATGTGTGAGTGTGGTGAAAGTGTTGAATGATGATGAAAGTATTTTCTTTTTGGGGATTTTCTTTCTTTTTTGGGTCACCCTGCCTCGGTGGGAGACGGCCAACTTGTTGAAAAAAAAAAATTATTATTTTCATATAGTCGGACTTGAGTCCTGGAAATGGGAAGTACAATGCCTGCACTTTAAAGGAGGGGTTTGGGATATTGGCAGTTTGGAGGGATATGTTGTGTATCTTTATATGTATATGCTTCTAAACTGTTGTATCCTGAGCACCTCTGCAAAAACAGTGATAATGTGCGAGTGTGGTGAAAGTGTTGAATGATGATGAAAGTATTTTCTTTTTGGGGATTTTCTTTCTTTTTTGGGTCACCCTGCCTTGGTGGGAGACGGCCAACTTGTTTAGAAAAAAAAAAATGGGTATATTACACTGTATTCTTTTTTTTTCAACACATCAGCCATTACTCACTAAATCAGGGTGGCCCAAAAAAGAAGAAACACTTTTGCCATCACTCACTTCATCCCTGTCTTGCCAGAGAGGTGCCAATACTACAGCTCAAAACTGCAGATATCCCCACCCCTCCTTCAGAGAGATGCTGGCTGCTTCTCTATCACCTTCATTAAGCATGAAAGTCACAGTATTACCTACTTTTTTTTTAACTTCAAACTTTTGCAAATATTCATCTGCTACCAATACAGTCTCCATGAAAATTAAGACGTGTGCAACATCTGGGTATCTTTATTGTAGACGTTTCGCCATCCAGTGGCTTTATATTATATCATACTAACACATCAGCCGAGTCTCACCAAGGCAGGACGGCCCGAAAAAGAAAAACTTTCATCACTCACTCCATCACTGTCTTGCCAGAGGAGTGCTTTACACTAAGACATGCTTTACACTACAGTTATAAAACTGCAACATTAACACCCCTCCTTCAGAGTGCAGGCACTGTACTTCCCACCTCCAGGACTCAAGTCCGGCCTGCCGGTTTCCCTGAATCTCTTCATAAATGTTACTTTGCTCACACTCCAACAGTACATCAAGTATTAAAAACCATTTGTCACCATTCACTCCTATCAAATACACTCATGCGTGCCTACTGGAAGCCCAAGCCCCTCGCACACAACCTCCTTTATTGCCTCCCTCCAACCTTTCCTAGGCCAACCCCTACCCCACCTTCCCTCCACTACACATTTATACACTCTCGAAGTCACTCTGTTTCGTTCCATTCTCTCTACATGTCCAAACCTCCTCAACAACTCCTCCTCAGCCCTCTGGATAATAGTTTTGGTAATCCCGACCTCCTCCTAATTTCCAAACTATGAATGTTAAAAGCAGGTGGGGATATAGTTTTGAGTGGTTGGTGCAATTATTTAATAAATGTATGGAAGAGGGTAAGGTACCTAGGGATTGGCAGAGAGCATGCATAGTTCCTTTGTATAAAGGCAAAGGGATAAAAGAGAGTGCAAAAATTATAGGGGGATAAGTCTGTTGAGTATACCTGGTAAAGTGTATGGTAGAGTTATAATTGAAAGAATTAAGAGTAAGACGGAGAATAGGATAGCAGATGAACAAGGAGGCTTAGGAAAGGTAGGGGGTGTGTGGACCAGGTGTTTACAGTGAAACATGTAAGTGAACAGTATTTGGATAAGGCTAAAGAGGTCTCTGTGGCATTTAAAGGATTTGGAAAAGGCATATGACAGGTGGATAGGGGGGGCAATGTGGCAGATGTTGCAAGGGGTATGGTGTAGGAGGTAGGTTACTGAAAGCAGTGAAGAGTTTTTACAGGATAGTGAGGCTCAAGTTAGAGTAAGTAGGAAAGAGGGAAATTTTTTCCCAGTAAAAGTAGGCCTTAGACAAGGATGTGTGATGTCACCGTGGTTGTTTAATATATTTATAGATGGGGGGTTTTAAGAGAAGTAAATGCGAGGGTCTTGGGAAGAGGCATGGAGTTAAAAGATAAAGAATCACACACAAATGTGGGAGTTGTCACAGCTGCTCTTTGCTGATGACACTGTGTCTTGGGAGATTCTGAAGAGAAGTTGCAGAGATTGGTGGATGAATTTGGTAGGGTGTGCAAAAGAAGAAAATTAAAGGTGAATACAGGAAAGAGTAAGGTTATGAGGATAACAAAAAGATTAGGTGATGAAAGATTGGATATCAGATTGGAGGGAGAGAGTATGGAGGAGGTGAAGTATTCAGATATTTGGGAGTGGACGTGTCAGCGGATGGGTCTATGAAAGATGAGGTGAATCATAGAATTGATGAGGGAAAAAGAGTGAGTGGATGCACTTAGGAGTCTGTGGAGACAAAGAACTTTGTCCTTGGAGGCAAAGAGGGAATGTATGAGAGTATAGTTTTACCAACGCTCTTATATGGGTGTGAAGGCATGGGTGATGAATGTTGCAGCGAGGAGAAGGCTGGAGGCAGTGGAGATGTCATGTCTGAGGGCAATGTGTGGTGTGAATATAATGCAGAGAATTCGTAGTTTGGAAGTTAGGAGGAGGTGCGGGATTACCAAAACTGTTTGTCCAGAGGGCTGAGGAGGGTTGTTGAGGTGGTTCGGACATGTAGAGAGATGGAGCGAAACAGAATGACTTCAAGAGTGTATCAGTCTGTAGTGGAAGGAAGGCGGGGTAGGGGTGGCCTAGGAAAGGTTGGAGGGAGGGGTAAAGGAGGTTTTGTGTGCGAGGGGCTTGGACTTCCAGCAGGCATGCGTGAGCGTGTTTGGTAGGAGTGAATGGAGACAAATGGTTTTTAATACTTGACGTGCTGTTGGAGTGTGAGCAAAGTAACATTTATGAAGGGATTCAGGGAAACTGGCAGGCCGGACTTGAGTCCTGGAGATGGGAAGTACAGTGCCTGCACTCTGAAGGAGGGGTGTTAATGTTGCAGTTTAAAAACTGTAGTGTAAAGCACCCTTCTGGCAAGACAGTGATGGAGTGAATGATGGTGAAAGTTTTTCTTTTTCGGGCCACCCTGCCTTGGTGGGAATCGGCCAGTGTGATAATAAAAATAATAAAAGAATTCTTTGCATTATATTCACACCACACACTGCCCTCAGACATGACATCTCCACTGCCTCCAGCCTTCTCCTCATTGCAACAATCATCACCCAAGCTTCACACCCATATATGAGCACTGGTATAACTATCCTCTCATACATTACCCTCTTTGCTTCCATGGACAAAGTTCTTTGTCTCCACAGACTCCTAAGTGCACCGCTCACCCTTTTCTCCTCATCAATTCTATGATTCACCTCGTCAGTGGCTTTATCAATACAAATTAAGAATTATGTTGCACATGTGTCTTAATTTCCATCTTGTTGGTATTGTATATCATTCTTGTACAACTTGTGTAACATAATCTCCATGCTTTATCATACATGGCCATATTCCTCTGAAAGAGTTTAATAAGTTCGAAGATCAAGTTTAGTCTCACGTTACGAGCGCTCAGAAGTAACTATGTTGAAGAACACCAGGAAATATCCACATTAATAAACATTACTCTCAATTTATTCAAAAGGGAAGATTTGATTTACAGATTCAGTATCATGATCCAATCTGATTTACAGATTTAGTATTGTGATACAATCTGATTCAGCATCATGCTAAAATCAATGTTTTGCAATGTACAAATGCTGCATAATAAAAGTTCATGCTTTTCAAATCGTTTTGTGGCATTAGTCAGATTTCCACTCTGTGTACTAATTACTAATGCATTAAGAACCTTTCCCAAAAATCTCTCCTACCTGATTCGCCAAGAAGTCAGCTTGTTGTAATGTGGCTAGAACTCCAGGGGTTAAATTAGTTTGAGTGACATCCTGCACGAGATCCTTAACAGCACCACCAAATATAAAGCAGACTCTGGAAACAAAACATTTCTATTAAAATGAAGGAAGAGGGCAAAAAGACGATTGTTTATTTTAGTAATAATGCACAAGAGTGGTGTGGTTACTCAGAGTTTGAAACATGTCATTTCTATGGTTAACAAATTTACATCATAGGAGGGGACCTCGTATATACTGCGGCTGTTATGGTGTTTCATGTTTCTGTTGGCTTCAAACTGAGCTATTGTTCATAATCTTCCACCTCATGGCAATGTTCACCAGCGGGTGGAACAATTGCTCAACTGAAAGCCAATGAAACCATGGAACACCAAAAATAGGTGCTGCATATGTAGGTCCTTTCTGAATCATTAAACGAACTATTATCATAGCAGGTAGGTAGGTGGTGACCTTTGTTCTCATATTACCTATACACGTAATGTAAATCACAAAGCAAGTAAAACTATTCAAAATATTTTTTACATTTCGCAATCCGTGTCCATAATACGTTCAGTAACATAGGCAAATTTAGACGTATGGAAAATAGCCCCAAAATTTATGCTGAGAAATATGCTTCATGCTTTGTCAGGTAAGCACCCTATGGAAATAGTAGAACCCCTCCCTAGAAAGAGAAGCCCTTACCCCTAGGCACATACCGCTAAAACCTCACCACCACGTCATGACAACCCCAGAATTAGGGGGTGTGGTGGGAAAAAAGGCGAGTGACAGATTTTTGACCAAGAAATGGCTTACCGATTAATGTTATGGCAGATTTTTGGTATAAGCCGCGCCAGTATGACCAAATCTTCCCACACTGGCTCAGAGTCGCAGGAAAGCCCAGACACATAGCTGTAACTACGGCAGTCTCCCTGCAAATGAAAAAACAGAGCAATTAAAGTTATAAATTTGTAGAAGCATAAATGTCAATTCAATAACTTTCAAAGATCTTTGATGTATAAAGTATAAATGGAAGAGGTAAAGAGGCCTATGCAAGAAGTGGGCTAGGTCTAGTGCCAAGGTTAGGCAATAGTTATTTCAACAGAGCACACTGTCAAATGAAATTTTAAGTTACACTGAAGCAGCAATATAATGAACAAAGTTGATCACTTTAAAGAAACGGAAACTTGATTACCTTTGGTGTAACAAACCCTGTCATTACACAGCTGCTGCTGCTACTACCACCACCACAAGTACTACAACAACTACTACTAGTATTACTATTATATTATGCCTTGCAACTCCCTCTAATACCTATATATACCCCTGTGTCCTTTTGTTTGTAACAGCTTGACAGAGCTCCTGGAGAGCGAAACATTGCCATAATAAAATGTTATATTAGTTGCACTTGTGTCCTTCTATTTAAACTCACGGTACCTATGACTATTATTATAATCATAACTACACATACGTGAACAAGCATATATATGCACACCCCTCTGGGTTTTCTTCTATTTTCTTTCTAATTCTTGTTCTTGTTTATTTCCTCTTACCTCCATGGGGAAGTGGAATAGAATTCTTCCTCCGTAAGCCATGCGTGTTGTAAGAGGCGACTAAAATGCCGGGAGCACGGGGCTAGTAACCTCTTCTCCTGTATATATTACTAAATGTAAAAGGAGAAACTTTCGTTTTTTCTTTTGGGCCACCCCGCCTTGGTGGGATACGGCCGGTGTGTTGAAAGAAAGAAAAGTCTGTTGAGTATACCTGGTAAAGTGTATGTTAGAGTTTTTATTGAAAGAATTAAGAGTAAGACAGAGAATAGGATAGCAGATGAACAAGGAGGCTTTAGGAAAGGTAGGGGATGTGTGGACCAGGTGTTTACAGTGAAACATGTAAGTGAACAGTATTTAGATAAGGCTAAAGAGGTCTTTGTGGCATTTATGGATTTGGAAAAGGCTTATGACAGGGTGGATAGGGGGGCAATGTGGCAGATGCTGCAGGTGTATGGTGTAGGAGGTAGGTTACTGAAAGCAGTGAAGAGTTTTTACGAGGATAGTGAGGCTCAAGTTAGAGTATGTAGGAAAGAGGGAAATTATTTCCCAGTAAAAGTAGGCCTTAGACAAGGATGTGTGATGTCACCGTGGTTGTTTAATATATTTATAGATGGGGTTGTAAGAGAAGTAAATGCGAGGGTCTTGGCAAGAGGCGTGGAGTTAAAAGATAAAGAATCACACACAAAGTGGGAGTTGTCACAGTTGCTCTTTACTGATGACACTGTGCTCTTGGGAGATTCTGAAGAGAAGCTGCAGAGATTGGTGGATGAATTTGGTAGGGTGTGCAAAAGAAGAAAATTAAAAGTGAATACAGGAAAGAGTAAGGTAATAATGTTAACAAAAAGATTAGGTGATGAAAGATTGGATATCAGATTGGAGGGAGAGTATGGAGGAGGTGAATGTATTCAGATATTTGGGAGTGGACGTGTCAGCGGATGGGTCTATGAAAGATGAGGTGAATCATAGAATTGATGAGGGGAAAAGGGTGAGTGGTGCACTTAGGATTCTGTGGAGACAAAGAACTTTGTCCTTGGAGGCAAAGAGGGGAATGTATGAGAGTATAGTTTTACCAATGCTCTTATATGGGTGTGAAGCATGGGTGATGAATGTTGCAGCGAGGAGAAGGCTGGAGGCAGTGGAGATGTCATGTCTGAGGGCAATGTGTGGTGTGAATATAATGCAGAGAATTCGTAGTTTGGAAGTTAGGAGGAGGTGCGGGATTACCAAAACTGTTGTCCAGAGGGCTGAGGAAGGGTTGTTGAGGTGGTTCGGACATGTGGAGAGAATGGAGCGAAACAGAGTGACTTCAAGAGTGTATCAGTCTGTAGTGGAAGGAAGGCAGGGTAGGGGTCGGCCTAGGAAAGATTGGAGGGAGGGGGTAAAGGAGGTTTTGTGTGCTAGGGGCTTGGACTTCCAGCAGGCATGCGTGAGCGTGTTTGATAGGAGTGAATGGAGACAAATGGTTTTTAATACTTGATGTACTGTTGGAGTGTGAGCAAAGTTACATTTATGAAGGGGTTCAGGGAAACCGGCAGGCTGGACTTGAGTCCTGGAGATGGGAAGTACAGTGCCTGCACTCTGAAGGAGGGGTGTTAATGTTGCAGTTTAAAAACTGTAGTGTAAAGCACCCTTCTGGCAAGACAGTGATGGAGTGAACGATGGTGAAAGTTTTTCTTTTTCGGGCCACCCTGCCTTGGTGGGAATCGGCCAGTGTGATGATAAAAAAAAAAAAAAAAAAAACTTTAATACTCACCTGGACACCAACAGACTTGACAGGTATGAGCGTAGCATATAACGTCTGACTCAGAGAAATTCGGTGTAGTTCTTGCCGTTCCTCCTCACTCGTACAGTTTTCTATCCGATTTAAGAGTGCATGTTTCTGTGGAGATGTTTGACGCATGAGAACTTGCATTATAATATAAGAATGTTACACATGTATGTGTATGTATATGGATTGCTGACCACCTGACAATTATTTTTACCCTCACCCCCACTTGTGTATGTATATGGATTGCTGACCACCTGACAATTATTTTTACCCTCACCCCCACTCAAACACACTGGCCCTATTTAACTATTTCATCCAGTGCTAGGACATCAGTCACCTTCACTCACAACATTAGCAATCTGACAGTCTGTTTTTCCTTAACATCTGTACTACATCCATAGTGCACATCTTTTTCTTTCTTCTTCCCAAGATAAGGTGACAAAAGATGATTCACCATCATTCATTCAACAGCTGTTTTGCCAGACGTATATAGGCATCATATTTCAAATGACTGTCCAAACTGTAATGTGACTGCCCCTCCATTGCCTGTCTCCACTTGCTCCAATGTAACACAAACACACACCCACTCTGGAGACTGATGTAGCAGAGGCAGAATCCATACGTAGTTTAAAAAGAGATATGATAAAAGCTCATGGAGCAGTAAGCGTGTAGACAACCTAGTAGCGATCAGCAAAGAAGCAGGGCCAGGAGCTGTGATTCGACCCCTGCAACCACAAACAGGCGAATACACACACCTGCTGAATGCTCAAGCTCCTACTACTTAAAACCTCTTTTACCCATCCATCCTTTTAACTTCTCTCAGGTTGACCCCTACCCTTCTTTCTACACTGGATTCTTAGTACAGTAGGACCCCCCATATCCGTGGGTCTGGTTCCCACAGTTTCAGTTATCCGTGATTTACTGTGGCCTGAAAATAACTCTTAATTTTGCTTTATAATGACCCCAAAGTACAAAATTAATGATGGTGGCAGTTGTTCAAAGCCTAAGAGAAGCTGTGAAGTACTTCCCATCAGTGAAAAACTACTAATTCTCCACTTACTGTTTATAATTTATCAGTTAAACTATCATAGGTATGTATGTAATGAAAAATAACAAATACAAGGTTTGCTACTATCCACGGTTTCTGGTATCCATGGCAGGTCTTGGAAAGTTTCCCCTGAGGATACAGGGGGGAGGGGGGGATGGGGGGGGAGGGGGGGAGAGGGAACTACTGTAACTGCATATTGAAACCAGGGTTACCATCTCCTTGTTCCCAGCATCTAATTACCCTTCTAGAAGAAACAATTCTATTCCACTTGGAAAGAAAGCATTACAGAAACTATATCTCTAAATTATTACCAGTCACTCTCCTAGAACACTTTTTTTTAATGCATTGGTCGTTTCCCACCGAGGCAGGGCGACCTGAAAAAGAAGAAACACTATCATCACTTGCTCCATCACTATCTTGTCAGACACACACCTACACTACAGTTAAAAAACTGCAACATATCCCCACCCTTCTTCCAAAGTGCAGGCACTGTGCTTTCCACATCCAGGACTCTTGAGTCCAACTAACTGGTTTCTCCAAATCCTTTCATAAATGTTACTTTGCTCACACTCCACTGGCACACTGGAGTACAGAAAAAAAACAAACACTTTAGACATACCCATCCTAGTACCACCCACCACAATAACAAACTAACCAGAACAAAATGTCTGTCAATTATATGGGCAAGAAGTACTGTACCTAACACTAGCAAGATATGAAATTAATTAGTGCTTCGAATTTATTGCCCTTTCAAGTGCAATTTATATAAACAATCAAGTACACAGCCAAGTCTCAATTAGTGCCAATTCAAATAGTGCAAATTTTGATTTGGTGCAAAAATCAATTAAAGCCAGTTTCCATCCCCACTAACTCTCCAAATCAAGCGCAAAAATTACACACAATTCAAACAGTGTGAATCTAAATAATGTGACCATTGCATGGGACTCATTATTTGCACTAATCAAGACCCACATGTACTACAATGTTTCAATCAAAATAAAAAATGTTTATTTTTATAGCTATTTAAATACATTGTCTTTTTTACAATAAGTACGGGGGATCTTTTCAATTTTCCATCAAGACAAAAAAAGACATATTAGGGAAGTGGAAAATAATCTTTCCTTTCTAAGTTGTGTGTGTCGGAAGTGGCGACAAAAATGCCGGGAGCAAGAGACCAGTAACACCAACTAAATAAATTACAAGATGTAAAAAAGAAAAACTTATTTTTAGGCCACCCTGCCATGTTGGGAGACTGCCAGTACATTACAAAAACACAAACACACAAACACACACACACACACACACACACACACACACACACACACACACACACAAGAGAGAGGGGTGGGTTGATTGCATCTTCTTGGACTGCAAGAAGGCCTTTGACACAGTTCCTCGCAAGAGATTAGTGCAGAAGCTAGAGCATCAGGCGCATATAACAGGAAGGGCACTGCAATGGATCAGAGAATACCTGACAGGGAGGCAACAACGAGTCATGGTACGTAATGATGTATCACAGTGGGCACCTGTGACGAGCGGGGTCCCACAGGGGTCGGTCCTAGGACCAGTGCTATTTTTGGTATATGTGAACGACATGATGGAAGGGTTAGACTCAGAAGTATCCCTGTTTGCAGATGATGTGAAGTTAATGAGGAGAATTAAATCTGATGAGGACCAGGCAGGACTTCAAAGAGACCTGGACAGACTGGCACCTGGTCCAGCAAATGGCTTCTCGAATTTAATCCTACCAAATGCAAGTCATAAAGATAGGGGAAGGGCACAGAAGACCACAGACAGAGTATAGGTAGGTGGCCAAAGACTGCAAACCTCACTCAAGGAGAAAGATCTTGGGGTGAGTATAACACCAAAGCATGTCTCCGGAAGCACACATCAATCAGATAACTGCTGCAGCATATGGCGCCTGGAAAAACCTGAGAACAGCATTCCGATACCTTAGAAAGGGAAATCATTCAAGACACTGTACAACCGTGTATGTCGGGCCCCATACTGGAGTATGCAGCACCTGTTTGGAACCCGCACTTGATAAAGCACGTCAAGAAACTAAGAGAAAGTTTCAAAGGTTTTTCGACAAGGTTTGTTCCCGAGCTAAGGGGAATGTCCTATGAAGAAAGATTAAGGGAAATCGGCCTGACGACACTGGAGACAGGAGGGGCAGGGGAGACATGATAACGACATATAAATAAAGCGTGGAATAGACAAGGTGGACAAAGACAGGATGTTCCAGGGAGGGGACACAGAAACAAGAGGCCACAATTGGAAGTTGAAGACACAAATGAGTCAGAGAGATAGTAGGAAGTATTTCTTCAGTCATAGAGTTGTAAGGCAGTGGAATAGCCTAGAAAATGACGTAGTGGAGGCAGGAACCATACACAGTTTTAAGACGAGGTTTGATAAAGCTCATGGAGCGGGGAGAGAGAGGGCCTAGTAGCAACCGGTGAAGAGGCGGGGCCAGGAGCTAGGACTCGACCCCTGCAACCACAAATAGGTGAGTACAAATAGGTGAGTACACAAAGGTTTTAAATGAGCTGATGTAGGTAACAGCTCTAAGCTTGTAAATAAAATTAGAAACCTTAACCTAACCTTGTAAAACCTTGTGTGAAAGAAAGAAGAGAAAAAGAGAAAAAAAAGAAAACGAGAGAGAGAGAGAGAGAGAGAGAGGGGAGAGAGAGGGGAGAGAGAGAGAGAGACAAGACAGAGAGAGAACAGAGACAGAGAGAGAAAAGAGACAGACAGACAGAGACAGACAGACAGAGACAGACAGAGACAGAGACAGACAGAGAGAGAGACAGAGAGCAATAATCTCAAGACAAATGACAGATTTTTTTGACTACCACTCACTACTTTGTGATCGTCAATATGGCTTCAGGAAAGGTTACTCTGCTGCTGATCTGTTGTTAAACCTCTCCACTAAGTGGCACCAGTCACTGGATGAATCCAAAGTCAGCTGTGTGGTAGCACTGGACATTGCTGGCGCTTTCGACCGGGTGTGGCACCAGGGCCTCTTAGCAAAACTTCAAGCACTGGGAATTGCAGGCTCTACGCTATGTCTCCTCAGTGATTACCTTCATGGTAGATCTCTAAGTGTAGTCCTCAAGGAACGGAATCAGCAAGGCATCCTATTGGGGCAAGCGTTCCACAAGGAAGTGTGCTGGGTCCACTGTTATGGAATGTCTACTTCAACGACCTTCTTCATCTCATCCCAGAATCACATGCATATGCAGACGACTGTACACTGACATTCACTTATCCAAGAGAAGAAATGCCAGCTGCTCTAAGCTACATCAATCACCAGCTGAGAGCTATATACAGCTTGGGGAAATAGATGGCAAGTAACATTTGCACCTGAGAAAACGCAAATGATGATCGTCTCTAGGCACCATGATGGTAATGCTGGTGCAGTAGTAAGGATGAATGGGACGATGTTGGCACCTGGAGAAGAAGTTGATATCCTTGGGTGAAATTTGACTCCAAAACTAACCATGAAGAACCATGTTGTAAATCTTGCAAACAAGGCAGCCAGGAAGCTTACAGCACTTCGCGTATCTCGCATCTGCTTGACAGTAGGGGTTGCAAGATCCTGTACGAGGCACAAGTACGCTCACACCTTAGTATGCTCCACTTTCTTGGTTTGCCTGCCCCCCCTCTCATCTGCGACTGTGCTTGACAGAGTAGAGAACAGAGCAAGAGTCTCATCTCTCGCCTGGACCCATCCTGGATAGATCTGTCATTTCAGCAGAGCCTTCAACATAGGAGGGATGTGGGTGGCCTTACTGTTATGTACAAGGCCAATATTGTCAAAATACCACACTTGGATCCACTTCGAGGACAGCGTGAAACAAGCTTTTATGCCACAAGACGGGCAGAAAGCAGCAACTTCACTCTGGCTTTTACCCTTCTCCAGAACATCACTCCATCTGAGATCATACATACCCAGGATGACTCGAGTAGGAACACATTCGTACAGCATAATGATGTCAACCCAGATAACGTCATTGATCAAATGAAAATGCTGGCCCACAGATGGCTCCAACTTCATCCTGTTCCCTACTTGTAAAGTCTCACAACAATAAAAATGCTTTCAAATGAGCTGATGTAGGTAACAGCTCTTAGCTGCCAATAAAGTTAGGAATCCTTAACCTGTAAATAGCTGTCAATAAAGCTAGGGGTCCTTAACCTTGTTTAAACCCTGTGTAAAAAAAAAAAAAAGAGAGAGAGAGAGAGAGAGAGAGAGAGAGAGAGAGAGAGAGGAGAGAGAGAGAGAGAGAGAGAGAGAGAGAGAGAGAAAAGAGAGAGAGAAGGAGAAGAGAGAGAGAAGAGAGAGAGAGAGACAGAGAGAGAGAGAGACAGGAGAGAGAGAGGACAGAGAGAGAGAGAGACAGAGAGAGAGAGAGACAGAGAGAGAGAGAGACAGAGAGAGAGAGAGCAGAGAGAGAGAGACAGAGAGAGAGAGAAAAGAGAGAGAGAGAGACAGAGAGGAGAGAGGAGAGAGACAGAGAGAGAGAGAGACAGAGAGAGAGAGACAGAGAGAGAGAGAGACAGAGAGAGGAGAGAGAGAGAGAGCAGAGAGAGAAGAGACAGAGAGAGAGAGAGACAGAGGAGAGAGACAGAGAGAGAGAGAGACAGAGAGAGAGAGACGAGAGAGAGAGAGACAGAGAGAGAGAGAGACAGAGAGAGAGAGAGACAGAGAGAGAGAGAGAAAGAAGAAGAAACAGAGAGAGAGAGAGACAGAGAGAGAGAGAGAGGACAGAGAGAGAGAGAGACAGAGAGAGAGAGGGCAGAGAGAGAGAGAGACAGAGAGAGAGAGAGACAGAGAGAGAGAGAGACAGAAGAGAGAGAGAGACAAAAGAGAGGAGAGACAGAGAGAGAGAGAGACAGAGAGAGAGAGAGACAGAGAGAGAGAGAGACAGAGAGAGAGAGAGACAGAGAGAGAGAGAGAGAGAGAGAGAGAAGAGAGAGAGGAGAGACAGAGAGAGAGAGAGACAGAGAGAGAGAGAGACAGAGAGAGAGAGAGACAGAGAGAGAGAGAGAGACAGAGAGAAAAGAGAGAAGGCAGAAGGAGGAGAGAGACAGAGAGGAGAGAGAGACAGAAAAGAGAGGAGAGACAGAGAGAGAGAGAGACAGAGAGAGAGACGAGAGAGAGACAGAGAGAGAGAGAGACAGAGAGAGAGAGAGACAGAGAGAGAGAGAAGAGAGACAGAGAAGAGAGAGAGACAGAGAGAAGAGAGAGACAGAGAGAGAGGAAAAGGGACAGAGAGAGAGAGAAAAGACAGAGAGAGAGAGAGACAGAGAGAGAGGAGAAAAGAGAGAAAAGAGAGAGAGACAGAGAGAGAGAGAGAGACAGACAGAGAGAGAGAGACAGGAAAAGACAGAGAGAGACAGAGGGGAGACAGAGAGAGAGAGCGAGAGAGACAGAGAGAGAGCAGAGGGAGGACAGAGAGAGAGAGAAAAGAGAGAAGAGAGAGAGAGAGAGAGAGAGAGAGAGAGACAGAGAGAGAGAGACAGAGAGAGAGAGACAGAGAGAGAGAGACAGAGACAGAGAGAGACAGAGAGAGACAGAGAGAGACAGAGAGAGACAGAGAGAGACAGAGAGAGACAGAGAGAGACAGAGAGAGAGAGACAGAGAGAGACAGAGAGAACAGAGAGAGACAGAGAGAGAGAGACCAGAGAGAGAGACAGAGAGAGAGACAGAGAGAGAGAACAGAGAGAGACAGAGAGAGAGAGACAGAGAGAGAGAAAAACAGAGAGAGGGGAGACAGAGAGAGAGAGACAGAGAGAGAGAGAGAGAGAGAGAGAGAGAGAGAGAGAGAGAGAGAGAGAGAGAGAGAGAGAGAGAGAGAGACAGAGACAGAGAGAGAATTTCTTCTTACCTTTAAAACACTAGCTGCATAATCTACAATAACTTTTAAAACAACTTGAGTTTCAGAGAAGTCCCTCTCCATATAGGCATCGTCTGCGCATAATACTCGAATGGCGAGGCCCGGACCCGGGAAAGGGTGGCGTTGAACAAATTCTTCTAAAAGTCCCAAATCTCGACCAATATGTCGGACCTGTGGAAATGAACATGCAAGGTGTTTGACAAGGGCATAATGAACAAGCAAGGTGTTTAACAAGGGCATAATGAACATGCAAGGTGTTTAACAAGGGCATAATGAACATGGGGGAGGTTTTTAACCTCAACATAATAATAAACACAGTAAATTAGATCTCTAACAAGATCATCTCCCACAGCAGGTTTTTTTCATATTAACAAATAATTTAATGTATAACACAATGATAATAAGCTTGCAGCTACAGAACAGTAAGTTATTAAGTGCACTTTTTAAAATGTATAAAAAATTTCATAAGCCATCAGATCTTAAAACAAAAATTTTGTATTCTTTTTTTTTTTTAACACACTGGCAGTCTCCCACCGAGGCAGGGTGACAAAAAAAAAAAAAAAAAAAAAGCTTTCACTATCATTCATACATAATCACTGTCTTTGCAGATGCCACTCCAAACAGTCAATATTCCAAACCATGGCTGAAAAATTCACAACTTGCCCACAAAGAATAAAAAGATCACAATACTGTAACTGGAACAATACACAAATAGCCAGCATATACGAGGAGAAAACTTAGGACGACGTTTTGATCCGACTGACCGTTAACAAGTCACACACTAATGTTAGTGTGTGACTTGTTATTAGTCGAAGTTGGACTGACAAGTCAAAGTATTGTATTGTATACAATACTTTGAGGTTTGTGTGTGTCCTGGACCACCATTAAGCCACTTATAACTTGAAAATGGTTCAGTACAGACCACAAAATTTAGATTCTTCAGATGCAAATTTTGCCCTGAATCTGTTTCAGATTCACTTACCAGGAAATGAAAAAAATGGTCTGCATAAAAATAATAAGAATCAAGCAATGTGTATCAAATTTTTTTTATTAACACATTGGCCGTTTCCCACCAAGGCAGCGTGGCCCGAAAAAGAAACTCTCTCATTATTCACTCCATCGCTGTCTTGCTAGAGGCGTGCTTACACTACAATAATAAAACTGCAACATTAACACCTCTCCTTCAGAGTGCAGACACTGTACTTCCCATCTCCAGGAATTAAGTCTGGCCCGCCGGTTTCCCTGAATCCCTTCATAAATGTTACCTTGCTTACAATCCAACAGTACGTAAAGTCCTAAAAACCATTTGTTTCCATTTGCTATCTAACATGCTCATGCATGCTTGCTGGAAGTCCAAGCCCCTTGCACACAAAATCTCCTTTACCCCCTCCCTCCAACCTTTCCTAGGTCGACCCCTACCCAGCCTTCCCTCCACTACAGATTTATACACTCTCAAAGTCATTCCATTTTGTTCCATCCTCTCTACATGTCCAAACCATCTCAATAACCCCTCCTTAGCCCTCTGGATAATAGTTTTGATAATTCCACACTGTCTCCCAATCTCCAAACTACAGATTCTCTGCATTATATTAACACCACACACTGCCATCAGATATGACATCTCCACTGCCTCCAGTCTTCTCTTTGTTGCAACATTCATCACCCATGCTTCACACCAATACAAGAGCATTGGTATAACTATACTCTCATACATTCCCCCTCTTTGCTTTCATGGACAAGTTCTTTGCCACCAAAGACTACTCAGTGCACCGCTCACCTTTTTCCCTCATCGATTCTATGACTCACCTCATCTTTCATAGGACCATCTGCTGACACTTCCACTCCCAAATATCTGAATACATTTACCTCCTCCATACTCTCTCCCTCAAGTCTAATATCCAATCTTCCATTACCTAAATATTTGGTTATCCTCATCACCTTACTCTTCCTACATTCACTTTTAATTTCCTTCTTTTACATACCCTACCAAACTCATCCACTAACCTCTGCAATTTCTCTTCAGAATCTCCCAAAAGCAGTGTTATCAGCAAAGAGCAACTGTGACAACTCCCACTTTGTGATAGATTCTTTATCTTTTAACCCCACACCTCTTGTATCAAGTATACATTAGTTTATAAGGGTAACTAGACTGTAATGAACACTTATCAATGCTCAATAATAACCCATATAGAGACAACATCAGAAGACTGATTTGTATAATTCAATCTCCTTCTGGGATCCCCTTCAGCTGAAGAGGATCCCAGAAGGGGGTCAAAATATACACATCAATCAATCTTCCAAGTTCCTGTCTCCATGTGGGTTGTTATTAGTTAATTCTTCTTAAACAAAAAATCTGTACCTCATCTTTGTGGAAATCCTTCAGTGGTTCAACTACTCTGCCTTGTGCCCTGAGGAGCCGGACAAGATCAGTGTCATTGTGGTGAGTCTTGATGTTCTGAGCATTACCCGAGACCATCGAAGATGCAGACTCAATGAGATCTGGTCTCAATGTGCCCTGACCCAACATTACCTCCTCCGTTCTTAGATTCATCTCGGCAATCACCTCATTGGCAACCTGAAATAATTAGTAAATGGTTAAAAATATATTATAAACATACCTACCACTAAAAATCAGTCATTTTATCATGCAGCCTCCACCTTCTCCATATCTTAACTAGATCTTACATTTGTTAATTTTCTTTATCAACACACTGGACATTTCCCACTGAGACAGGGGTGACCCCCCCCCCCCAAAAAAAAAAAAAAAACTTTCATCACTCGCTCCACCACTGTCTTGCAGAGGTGTGCCTAGAACCCTGACTGTGTCGCCATGGCTCCTGAGAGAGGCAGGGCGGCTGATGGTGCTTCACATACTTTCTGTTCAAAAACTGCAATATATCTGGTCACAGACCGGGCCGCGGGGGCGTTGAGCCCCGGAACACTCTCCAGGTAAACTCCAGGTATCTCCACCCCTCCTTCAGAATGCAGGCATTGTGCTTCCACCTCCAGGACTCAAGTTCAGCTAACCGTTTCCTTGAATCCCTTCATAAATGTTACTTTGTTCACTCTCCAACAGTACATCAAGTCATAAAAATCATTTGCCTCCACTCGCTCTTATTTAACAGGCTCATGCATGCCTGCTGGAAATCTAAGCCCCTTGCATACAAAACCTTTACTCCCTCCCTACAACCCTTCCTATTTGCTAATAGTAACAGTTTGGTCTCAGACCAAGCCTTCTCGCCTGGAAAGGAAATATTACAGGTATGAGAACTAATGAAAAAACACAGTTAAAACCTTCCAGTCTACATCACTTTATTATCTGTATCTGGAGACCACATACAACCCATTAATATTATTTCATGAGTGGAGGAAGCACTAAATCCATTGGGCCATGCAGCACCTTGGTAAAGGGGATGCATCAGATTCAATCCAAGGATCGAAAGCACTTTGTTGGTATCTCGGCACCTCCCTTAAGGTAATAAATACAGGCGCTCCTCGACTTATGATGGTTGGACTTCACAATGGTGTGAAAGCATGAAGGCAGCAAGTCTGAAACTTTTATTCCTTTTTTTTTTGTTTTAACAAATTGGCCGTCTCCCACCAAGGCAGGGTGACCCAAAAACAAAATCCCCAAAAAGAAAATACAGTGGACCCCCGCTTTACGATCAGCTCCCAATGTGACCAATTATGTAAGTGTATTTATGTAAGTGCGTTTGTACATGTATGTTTGGGGGTCTGAAATGGACTAATCTAATTCACAATATTCCTTATGGGAACAAATTCGTTCAGTAATGGCACCTAAACATACTTCTGGAATGAAATAATATCGTAAACCGGGGGTCCACTGTACTTTCATCATCATTCAACACTTTCACCTCACTTATACATAATCATTATTTAGCATATCATATTCATATTCAACTTATGATATTTTTGACTTACGATGGGTGTGTCGAAATGTAACCCCATTGTAGTCAAGGATCACCCATATACCTTAGCACAGCGGTGGGCAAACTACAGCCCGCCTCAAAGGTTTTCATGTGGCCCGCCAAGATCAAGTCATATACTCATGTTATTTGGGGACAAAATGTTAGTAAATTTGAAAAAAAAAAAAAAAAAAGTTACCATGTAACGCCAAATAATATTGTGGAACATTAACACATTACCCGCAAATTTCTGAATGTGGCCCCTGCACCGAAAAGTTTGCCCAACCCTGCCTTAGCACTTCACATCCATTCTCTACTAGTATGAAAATATCTGACCCATATAACATATTTTGAAAGTAAGAGGCACGGTAGAACACTAACTAACCTTGATAAAAGTATCTCCAACAATTTTGCGCTTCTCCTCCGGGGCGAAAGTCATACACAACAGGTTGGTAACGCGTTTCCTACCCATGGGGTCAGAGCTGTCCACGGGTATACTCGTTACTCCATCATAGAACTGATGTCTTGCATTGATCACTGATAAGATAAATTTGGGTAAAGCAAAAAGCAACTTTCACCTACACATTGTTACATGGTTTCAGATCAGATTACTCTTTATTATAAATAAATTAACAGTACTCTAATAATTATTTAATGCAGGTAAAAGCCACACCACTTTCGTAGTAATAAGATTTAAACAACATTTAGCAATTATTTTTTTAAAACTTCCGCAGTTTCCCACCAAGGCAGGATGACCCAAACAAAAGCAAAATATCATTTATTAATGATAAAACTTTAAATACTCTAAAAATGTGGGATGACTGTGCAAGCAAAAATATTAAATGTATTGGAAAATGAATTATAGATTTGTAAAATACGTCAGAAGACTTGCTAAAGTGATACCGTAATTTATGGTTAGTAATGACTTGCGGTCTACTTTTGTAAGCACAGTAAACTCTATTAATTAATAGAGGAGCGAGTGGCTGGTACTAAACGACTGTGGTGGACAGAGATGAGATTTAGAGTTTTTTTTTTTTTTTATTATCACACTGGCCGATTCCCACCAGGGCAGGGTGGCCCGAAAAAGAAAAACTTTCACCATCATTCACTCCATCACTGTCTTGCCAGAAGGGTGCTTTACACTACAGTTTTTAAACTGCAACATTAACACCCCTCCTTCAGATTTAGATGTGAACATAATAATGGACAATTCAGTAACCACTGGCATTTGTCTGTTGTTCCTGAATCAACTAACCCAACAGATTTTACTGTCAAGTCAAATATTACAAATGTATGTACTCAAAATTATCAACTACTGGTATTCTTCAGCTTGTGTGAGTGACCATTTGGCTAGAGTGAGCTACACCTGACACTATAATAGTACAATACTCTCCTACATGGCTGTCTAGTGATCAATGACCATTAAACCAAAGTGAGCTACACCCGACACTATGACAGTACAACACTCTCCTACATGGCTATCTTGTGATCAGTGATCACTTAGCCAGAGTGAGCTATGCCTGACACTATCACAGTACAACACTGTCATCTACTGACCTCTGAGTTTAAGGCCAAGTTTTCTGAGTGACTGCTCCACTTGCAAAGACTCGTTCTTCCTCATGAAGCCATTATCTATGTGAACAGCTATCACTTGCTCCTCTGACAGAGCTTTGTGAAGGAGAGCGGCACACACTGTTGAATCTACACCGCCACTTACCAACATCTGGAAAGTTACAAATTATTAATTTTTTTATGACATCAGTAGTTTCCACTAGAGTAGAATGACCCAAAAAAGTTAATACATTCACCATCGATGCCTTGCCAGAAGAAAGCAGACATCACAACTGAGATGTCCCTCCAAACAGCAACATGTCCACCCTTCCTTCAGAGTACAGGAACTGTACTTCTCACCTCCAGGACTCAAGTCCAACTAACCGGTTTACCAGAATTCCTCTATAAATGTTACTATCATGTCTCCTTTATAAATGTACATAAAGAAGGCAATGAACTTGAATGCATCATTAACCCTTTGACTGTCGCAGGCCCCTTTCTGAAACTGTCATTCTATGTCGCAAAATTTTTGGAAAAAAAAAAAAAAAAAAAAAAAAAAATTATTTTTTTTCTTATGAAATGATAGAGAATCTTTTCCCGATGGTAATGACACCAAAAGTTCGAAATTTGGTCAAAAACTCACAGAATTACACTACCGCGAAGTTAGCGGTCTTGGCGGCATATACGTATTGGCAATTTCGCTGACTATGAGCCCTGTTTTTAGCCAATTCCGTTGTTCCAGTTGACCAAACTCATAGCTATTTCTTTAGAACTCCATTTTATCTATCAGCTGAGTAGAAGAAACCGCCCATTTACCGATTTGAACTACCCAATAAAGTGGTCAGAAATTGGCAATTTGGCCAATTTCACACAAATCAAAAAAGATGCCAATTTCAAAATAGGGTCCAGAATAAACAGTGTAGACATTCTTGGCACTAAAATAACATATCCTCTGTTCATTAGTCACATATCTAGGCCCCTCGTATATTACTATTGCTTTCTATTTTGATTTTTTATTCATACAAATAAATACAAAATTTACTGGTATGCAGACTACTGCATTATTGTAAAAATGGTATAAATAATATCAGTGCACTAGTAAAAGAATATTAGACTCACCAGTTGACGTGTATTGGACGTGTGGTGTGATTTGCTTACTCTTGAACATTGGTAAAAATTGAACATTTCCGCTACTTTGAGCTCAGTTTCAAGGTCATTTTCATCGTGAAAGTAATGAAACCATCTCCATTTCTTTAATATGTTTTCCATTTTATCACCTAAGACCATGAAAACGAGAATACACCGATAAATACTATACGAAAATATACCTCAAAGTCGGCATTTTAATCCAAAAAAACGGTCAGTGTTTTTTTTTTTCTCATTACGCACTGTGTGCTGCAGGATTTTTTTATGTGGTGCACACTGACCACACAGACCCATTCTCTCACATGTGGGCCTACCAGGTTTCTCCTGCTTGATTTGAAGCCGCTAGAATTTATGAGTATATATACGTCAGAAACAGTGGCACGTAAGACGTATTTATACGGCGTAAACAGTCAAAGGGTTAAGCACTGAAGTGGTGAAGAATTAATTAATCCAGGTTATTATAAAAGGAATTAAGACAGCTCACGAGTTAGTTGTCTTTAATCAACAGAAGGAATACACATTTCTGATCAACCTAGCATTAAGCTCAATTTATACCAGTGGCCAGTTCTGAGACTTACCTGCTACTTTTATGACTGGCTTTCCATGGGTTTGAACCTCCATCTGTTCTGCAAGTTTTTTACAATTGTATTCTTGTAATTTTGTGAATCATTTAATAATGCCTTTGAAGGGACTTGAGCTAGAGCATGCCATAGCCATGGTGGTATGAGAGAGGATAAACAAGGCTTTGAGTGTTAGGGGGTTGAGCATACAGCAGGCTAGTGTGAGCACGTTTGATAGAAGTTAATAGACACAAGCAGTTTTTAATGAATGTGCTGTTCAAGCGTGAGCAGGGTAACTTTTATGAATGGATTCAAGAAAACCAGTTAGCCAGGGTAACTTTTATGAATGGATTCAAGAAAACCAGTTAGCCCGACTTGAGTCCCAGAGGCAGGAAGGGCAGTGCCTGCACTCTGAAGGAGGGGTGAAGATGCTGCAGTCAAGAGGGTAATCTGATTGTTATCACACTTCTGGAAATATGGATGAGTGAATGATGGCAAAGGCATTTTCTTCTCTGGGTCACCCACTTTGCCTCAGCAGGAGATGGCCATTCAGAAAACAACATACAACCTCCAGGTAGACTGTGTATAATATAATAATGATGTCAGCAGGTACAGTATCCTACAACAGCTATCTCAGCAGTGTAAGGTGTTCTGACTGTTATTATGTTTGATATTGGAAGCTTGTATCAAGGCAGACCTTAGTCTTCAGTGTCCACCTCTTCATTAACTTCCATAAAGTCTCAACTGATAGACACACCAGTAACCATCAACTGTCTTATAAAAGCAGCACAAGGTAAACCCTTAATGTTAACAGACTTCAGAAACACAGGACAAAATCTGTTGGGTTACTGGACTCGGAAACAACAGACAAGGTTCAGTATTCACAGAGTTATCCATTATTATGATCACAACAAAATGTTCTCACATCTATCCATCACAATCATCACCATCAGCCACATGCTTTCCCCTCTCAGTATCTTAAAATAAAGGTTTACAAACCTCCTTTACCCTCTCCCTCCAACCTTCCCTAGGATGACCCCTACCTCTCCTTCCTTCCACTACAGATTTATACATTCTCTAAATCATCCTATTTTGCTCCATCCTCTCCCAAACAACAGATTCTTTGCATAATATTCATGCCATACATTGCCCTCAGACACAACATCTCCACTGCCTTCAGTCTCCTCCTCACTGCAATGTTTAAACCCATATAAGAGTGTTGGTACCACTAAACTCACACATTCCCCTTTTTGCTTCTATGGATAACATTCATTGTCTCTACAGATGCCTCAATGCACAACCTACCTTTTTCCTCCTTATTAATTCCATGGTTCACCTTGTCTTTCAGAGACCCATCTGCTGAAAAGTCCACTCCCAAATATCTGAACACATTCACTTGGGAGTTGATGTGTTGGTGGATGGATTTATGAAGGATGAGGTTAATCATAGAATTGATGAGGGAAAAAAGGTGAGTGGTGCGTTGAGGTATATGTGGAGTCAAAAAACGTTATCTATGGAGGCAAAGAAGGGAATGTATGAAAGTATAGTAGTACCAACACTCTTATATGGATGTGAAGCTTGGGTGGTAAATGCAGCAGCGAGGAGACGGTTGGAGGCAGTGGAGATGTCCTGTCTAAGGGCAATGTGTGGTGTAAATATTATGCAGAAAATTCGGAGTGTGGAAATTAGGAGAAGGTGTGGAGTTAATAAAAGCATTAGTCAGGGGCAGAAAAAGGGGTTGTTGAGGTGGTTTGGTCATTTAGAGAGAATGGATCAAAGTAAAAAATGACATGGAAAGCACATAAATCTATAGGGGAAGGAAGGAGGGTAGGGGTCGCCCCTCGAAAGAGTTGGAAAGAGGGCGTAAAGGAGGTTTTGGGGGCGAGGGCTTGGACTTCCACAGCAGGGCATGAGCGTGTTAGATAGGGTGAATGGAGACGAATGATACTTGGGACCTGACGATCTGTTGGAGTGTGAGCAGGGTAATATTTAGTGAAGGATTCAGGGAAAACTGGTTATTTTCATATAGTCGACTTGAGTCCTGGAAATGGGAAGCACAATGCCTGCACTTTAAAGGAGGGGTTTGGGATATTGGCAGTTTGGAGGGTTATGTTGTGTATCTTTATACGTATATGCTTCTAAACTGTTGTATTCTGAGCACCTCTGCAAAAACAGTGATAATGTGTGAGTGTGGTGAAAGTGTAGAATGATGATGAAAGTATTTTCTTTTTGGGGATTTTCTTTCTTTTTTGGGTCACCCTGCCTCGGTGGGAGACGGCCGACTTGTTAAAAAAAAAAAAAAAATTCACTTCCTCCATACTCCCTCCCTCCAATCTGATATCCAACCTTTCACTGCCTACATTATTACGTTACTCTCATCACCTTGATCTTTCTTATGCTCACATTCCATATTTCATTTTTTTTTTCATACCAAATTTGTCTACCAACCATTGCAATTTCTCATACATATACACAAAATAAATGGTAACATCACTGTGATCTGTTCTGAGGATTCTTCTACCCTGGCCTAAGGGCAGCCTTCCTTGATGACCGCCTGATCAACAAGATTTGTGTTAATAACATTAATAGCGATGTGTAACGAGAAGTGTTGTTCAGCGCTGAGGAAGAGTTGCTGCAGTAGCTTACACATTTAGAGAGGATGGAGAAAAATAGAATGACTATGAGGGTGTATAAATCTGTGGTAGAGGAAAAGAGGGGTAGGGGTCATCCTAGGAAAGGCTGGATGGAGGGGGTAAAGGAGGTTCTGAGTTTTAGGGGCTTGGACATCCAACAGGCTTGTGTGAACATGTTAAATAGGAGCAAGGTAGCATTTATGAAGAGTAAGGGGAACTGGTTAGCTAGACTTGAGTCCTGGAGGTAGAAGGTAGGGGTGAGAATGGTGAGGGTCAGAGGGTCATCCAAACTGCAATCAATGTCAGTGTGCTGCTGGCAAAACAGTAATGAAGTGAGTTACAGAGAAAGTGTTTCGTTCTTTGTCGGGTCACCTACCTCGGTGGGAGATGGCCAGTTTAAAAAATAATTAATAGTATACAATAATGACAAGCTGATGAATTAGACACTAAAAGCAACACCTGGGTATCTTTATTTTAAAGACATTTAGATGAGGTAAGCAGTCCCTCAACCTTGAAGATGTTTATTCTGGGATGAGGGAATCAGTCCCTGATCCCTGAGATGTACCTTAGCCTTGATAAATCAAGATAGAGTTACTGCATACCTTCAAGACAGAAGGACTGATTACCTCATCTTCTACTGCTCCCAGTTTATAAGATGGGCACTGAACTGAAAACAGCCACTGGTTGGCGAAACAATATGAAGATACCCAGGTATTGCGCACGTGTAATTCATCAAGGTTTTCCATGTTAGCAGACCACTGGTCCACATACCCAGCACAGCCTGGCTAACAAAACAAAGATGCAAGCACAATGTGCGAGGGGGGGGGTAAAGGAGGTTTTGTGTGCGAGGGGCTTGGACTTCCAGCAGGCATGCGTGAGCGTGTTTGATAGGAGTGAATGGAGACAAATGGTTTTTAATACTTGACGTGCTGTTGGAGTGTGAGCAAAGCAACATTTATGAAGGGGTTCAGGGAAACTGGCAGGCCGGACTTGAGTCCTGGAGATGGGAAGTACAGTGTCTGCACTCTGAAGGAGGGGTGTTAATGTTGCAGTTTAAAAACTGTAGTGTGAAGCACCCTTCTGGCAAGACAGTGATGGAGTGAATGATGGTGAAAGTTTTTTCTTTTTCAGGCCACCCTGCCTTGGTGGGAATCGGCAAGTGTGTTAATAATAATAAAAAACAATGTGCGAGTACTTACCAAGACTTTATTTGAGCCAACGTGTTCTTTGATATAATTTATACACTGAAGTTCTCGGTTTTGAAGCGTGTAAGTCCCTGAGAGGCCACTGATTTCATAGAGGAAGTTCCTCATCATCGTCACCCCTTGCTCTGTCAGATCAACCTGAACAATACAAACATTTAACATTTTGTGAATTTTTACCTCTCTCCAATAAAATCAGTTACTGCTAATATTTTATCCTGTGGTAACTCTCCCAGACTTCTGAAATTATTTAAGTGAATTACACATGGTGTGAAAATTTGGCTAATAGTTTTTCATTTTTGTTTTATTCAGGGGGGAAGTAATATCCCCCCCCCCCCTTTTTTCTTTTTTTTTTAGAAAACTGGGCTTTCTATAAAGGCAAAATAAGAATGCACAGTAAACACATTTAGCTCATATATTTGTAGTGAAAACACCCTTAGATTAAAGGTTACTTAGTATATTAATGTATTCTTGGTGAAGTACTGAGCCTGGTACACAATGCCTGAGGAGTGGCAGATAATAGGTTTGATCCAAAGGGAGGGTAGCCCCAATTCCTTGGATCAGAAGCCCTTCATTATCATCAAAACACTCCACTTAGAAGACTATATAATGATACTTAAGACATCATCTCTCCCCTCCCCACAGGTCTGTATCCAGTACTTTCTGGGTTAGAATGTTAACCGACTTCCCTTAAAGAATAAATAAAAAAAAAGAAAAGAAAAGATTTAAAAATTCAGCTGGATATTCAAAGCATTTATATTAACAAGACAGCAGACTTACCTCAGGATGAAACTGAACCCCATAGAGGCGAAGCTTGTCGTTTGCAATGGCAGCGATGATGTTTCCCGATGTGGCCACAACTTTGAACCCATCTGCTACCTTGTCTATACTATCTCCATGGGTGAGCAGTACATTTTGTTTGACCCCCATATACCTGATACGAGTGAATGTGTGTATTTAAGTGGACATGAAAACACATAAGCTAATACTATCACTACATTAATGGTGTACAATATAGCAGAGTTGATGACCTAGAGACATGTAATATACCTGAATACCCAGAATTTTTTTTTTTAATACACTAGCCATCTCCTATCAAGGAAGGATGACCCACAAAAGAAACCCTTTCACCATTAATCACTTCGTCACTGTCCTGCCACAGGCGCATAGATACGACAGTTTGGGTGTTCCTCCAAACAGCAAATATCCCCACCCCTTGTGTGATGAATGGTTTGAAAAACCGACAAGTTGAAGATTGAGACTTATGCAGCATATGGAAATCTTTATTCAGGAAACGTTTCGCCACACAGTGGCTTCATCAGTCCACTGTGTGGCGAAACGTTTCCTGAATAAAGATTTCCATATGCTGCATAAGTGTCTCAATCTTCAACTTGTCGGTTTTTCAAACCATTCATCACAACTGTCGGACACTGCAGCATCATGGGATCTTGTTACAAAGAATTCTTCAACACTTGTTCAACCTTTGGACGAAGACCTACTTCGACTAGTGGATGGTACCACTATGACCCCGCCTCCATCTGCTTCACGTCACCTCACTACAGTATATAAGCCACGTCTACGGCCCTATGCTGTACATTCTACAAGATTGATGGACTGAACACATCGACTCCAGGCCGAGGGACTGATTACCTCATTCTCCTCCTCTCCTTACGCCTTCCTCTTTGTATTGGACTGATGAAGCCACTGTGGCGAAACGTTTCCTGAATAAAGATTTCCATATGCTGCATAAGTGTCTCAATCATCCCCACCCCTTCCCTATATTTAATTGATAAAGTTACTGGTTAGATCTAAGTCTTCAAAATAAGCTACCCAGGCATTGCACATGTGTCCCAAATAATAACACAGTTCTTAATGGTTTCAGTTTATGTTGAAAAAGTTTCTAACTAGGTAAGAGAACACAAGTGCAACTAATGTAACACTTTATTGTGGAAATTTTTTCACTCTCCAGGAGCTTTGTCAAGCCATAACAACTTGACAAAGCTCCTGGAGAGTGAAACGTTGCCAAATAAAACGTCGCATTAGTTGCACTTGTGTCCTTTTACATAACATTGTCAGTAATTCTACAAACATTATTACAGTTTCTAACTAATTTTGGGATGCTGAATTTAATTCTTAGTTTTGGTTCAACACAGTTTCTGTGAAATAAAACCCCCATGGGAAATGATTCCACCAAGACAAAGTCATCATGGAGGACAACAGGAAACCCTATTAGTTTAATGGCCAACTACTGCTGTGTGTGAATTTACGATAAGAAAAGATTAAATTTTGGAATTGCAAGCACCACACTTAATTTTTTTAACACACTGGATGTCTTTCACCAAGGCAGGGTGACCCTCCCTCAAAAAATACACACTTTCACAATTATTCGCACTATTACTGTCTTGCCAGAGGTGTGCAGATACGACAGTTAAGATGTCTCTCCTAACAGTAAATATTTTTATTATTTTTTTTTTATTATCACACCGGCCGATTCCCACCAAGGCAGGGTGGCCCGAAAAAGAAAAACTTTCACCATCATTCACTCCATCACTGTCTTGCCAGAAGGGTGCTTTACACTACAGTTTTTAAACTGCAACATTAACACCCCTCCTTCAGAGTGCAGGCACTGTACTTCCCATCTCCAGGACTCAAGTCCGGCCTGCCGGTTTCCCTGAATCCCTTCATAAATGTTACTTTGCTCACACTCCAACAGCACGTCAAGTATTAAAACCATTTGTTCTCCATTCACTCCTATAAAAACACGCTCACGCATGCCTGCTGGAAGTCCAAGCCCCTCGCACACAAAACCTCCTTTACCCCCTCCCCCCAAACCCTTTTCCCTAGGCCGACCCCTACCCCGCCTTCCTTCCACTACAGACTGATACACTCTTGAAGTCATTCTGTTTCGCTCCATTCTCTCTACATGTCCAAACCACCTCAACAACCCTTCCTAAAGCCCTCTGGACAACAGTTTTGGTAATCCCGCACCTCCTCCTAATTCCAAACTACGAATTCTCTGCATTAATTCACCCCCACACATTGCCCTCGACATGACATCTCCACTGCCTCCACCTTCTCCTCGCTGCAACATTCATCACCCCGCTCACACCCATATAAGAGCGTTGGTTAAAACTATACTCTCATACATTCCCCTCTTTGCCTCCAAGGACAAAGTTCTTGTCTCCACAGACTCCCAAGTGCACCACTCACTCTTTTTTTCCCTCATCAATTCTATGATTCACCTCATCTTTCATAGACCCATCCGCTGACACGTCCACTCCCAATATCTGAATTACGTTCACCTCCTCCATACCCCTCTCCCCCCAATCTGATATTCAATCTTTCATCACCTAATCTTTTTGTTATCCTCATAACCTTCTCTTTCCCCGTATTCACCTTTAATTTTCTTCTTTTGCACACCCTACCAAATTTATCCACCAATCTCTGCAACTTCTCTTCAGAATCCCCCCAAGAGCACAGTGTCATCAGAAAGAGCAGCTGTGACAACTCCCACTTTGTGTGTGATTCTTTATCTTTTAACTCCACGCCTCTTGCCAAGACCCTCGCATTTACTTCTCTTACAACCCCATCTATAAATATATTAAACAACCACGGTGACATCACACATCCTTGTCTAAGGCCTACTTTTACTGGGAAAAAATTCCCCTCTTTCCTACATACTCTAACTTGAGCCTCACTATCCTCGTAAAAACTCTTCACTGCTTTCAGTAACCTACCTCCTACACCATACACTTGCAACATCTGCCACATTGCCCCCCTATCCACCCTGTCATACGCCTTTTCCAAATCCATAAATGCCACAAAGACCTCTTTAGCCTTATCTAAATACTGTTCACTTATATGTTTCACTGTAAACACCTGGTCCACACACCCCCTACCTTTCCTAAAGCCTCCTTGTTCATCTGCTATCCTATTCTCCGTCTTACTCTTAATTCTTTCAATTATAACTCTACCATACACTTTACCAGGTACACTCAACAGACTTATCCCCCTATAATTTTTGCACTCTCTTTTATCCCCTTTGCCTTTATACAAAGGAACTATGCAGTCAATCTTCAAAAGATTGAGGGACTGAACACACAGACTCTGGGCTGAGGGACTGATGACTTCAAACTCCTGATCTTTAACTATTCTTCTCTGTACTGGACTGAGGAAGCCACTGGTTGGTGAAATGTTTCCAGTTAAATAAGAACATAAGGAGGAAGGATCACTGTAGCAGGCCTACTGGCCCATGCTAGGCAGGTCCAAGTAACACCCACTCAAGAAGGAAAGAGCACTGCTGCAGGCCTACCACCCTATTACAACACAGGAAATCCTTCCACATAAAGCTAATTTCACTATATTCATTACAAGTTAATTTTAAGAACAAAACTGCATTAACACTTACTTGAATATATGACAAAAATTATCGACTTCTATGGTATACTGGCCGTCCTCTCTTGTTGCTTTTCTTAATACTGTTCCACCAAACTCCTTATTTATAAGCTGCATCCCATAGCAGATTCCTGTCATAGAAAGTTAAAATCACTCAAAACAATATCCACTTTTGCAATTTTTGTGTCTATAGCTAAGGCATGGGAATTCTTCCATCTGTTACAAGTTAGAGATAAAAAGGTATACAATACCAACATGATAGAAAACAAATGCATTATAATGCGTTCCTTTACTGTTTATGTTGCACCCATAGGGTGGGCTTTATCCACTGTTCTGCACCTGACTCTCTACCCTTTACTAGGAGGGAAGCTTGTTGCCTGGAAGGTCTAGGAGTGAGAGCAAGGCATGGCTGTGTATGTCTAACTTGAGGCAGTGCCCTCTGGTGGGCATTGAGGGAAACTAGGCCCACAATAGATTCACTCAACAAGGGGACTATGAGAAGTAGCAGTAGGCTTACTGTCTACATAATATATACTCATGTACTCTTTATCCAGGTAGATCTGTGACTTTACCCTTTCAGGGTCCCCAGGCCCTCTCCCAGACTTGTTCTCAGGGTCGCCCAAATTAAAAAAAAAAAAAAAAATCTAATGAAAAGATAGAGAATCTTTTCCCGATCATAATGACACCAAAAGTATGAAATTTGATGGAAAACTTATGGAATTATGCTCTCGCGAAGTTAGGGGTCTCGACGATGCCCACTTGGAGCCCTATTTTCGGCCACTTCCAATGTACTAGTCGACTAAAATCATAACTATTTCACTAGAACTCCATTTTTTCTATCGAATGAGTACCAATTTCAACTCTCCGATACAGTGGTCAGAATTTAGCAATTTTGCCAGTCTCACACAAATTTCAAAAGATGCCAATTTCCAAATAGGGTCCAAAATAAACAAGAAAGACATTCCTGGCACTAATATAACATTTCCTCTGCTCATTAGTCACGTCCCCATGCCCCTCTTACATTCTTTTGCTTTCCACTTTGAATTTTTATTATCACAAAAAATAGAAGATTTACTGTATTGCAGACTACTGCATTAGTGTAGAAATGGTATAAATAATATCAGCACACTTGTGAAAGAATATTAGACTCGCCAGTTGATGTGTATTGGACGCTTGGCATGATTTGTTTACTTTTGAACTTTGGTAAAAATCGAACATTTCTGCTACTTTGAGCTCAATTTCAAGGTACTTTTCACTGTAAAACCAGACAAAATCATCTCAATTTCTGTAATATGTCTTCCATTCTATAAAATGAGACCAGGAAAACTAGAATACAACAATAAATACCATACGAAAATACAGTGCAAAGTCGCTGTTTTAATCCAAAAACACGGTCAAAGTTTTTTTTTCTCATTACGCACTGTGTGCTGCAGGATTTTTTTATACTGTGCACACTGACACATAGACCCATTCTTTCATATGTAGGCCTACCAGCTTTCTCTCCGAGGGCGCTAGAATTTAGGCGTACTAGTACGTCAAAAACCCTGGTGAGTAAGCCGTACTAGTACGTCCGAAACCCTGAAAGGGTTAATGAAGCCCACTGTGTGGGCAAAACATAGTCAAATGTAGAAAAACAAAAAGAAGATATACATTTTTTACATACTTTCAAATGTTGAAAAAACGTATATATACGTTTGGACCGTTTCCGGGTTAATGTCCATTGATAATTTTTTGAATATTTACAATATGAATGTATCATTAACTATCTTTATCTTCCCCTAAAATTAGTCATCACTCACCTAATACAGGTACATTTATTTTGAAAATGTCAGAGTCGTAGCGGGGAGCATCTTCTGCGTACACTGAGCTTGGTCCCCCGGATATTATTATAGCTCTGGAAAACAACATAACATGTATTAACATCACTGCGAATTTCACTTCCATGCGAGTTCATGGTTTAGTTATTTTATCACAGTGGTAATTTTCCACCAAGGTAGGGTATGAAAAGTCCAAAAAGTGAGGTCCCCAAAAATCACAAATACAGTGGACCCCCGGTTTACGATATTTTTTCATTCCAGAAGTATGTTCAGGTGCCAGTACTGACCGAATTTGTTCCCATAAGGAATATTGTGAATTAGATTAGTCCATTTCAGACCCCCAAACATACACGTACAAACGCACTTACATAAATACACTTACATAATTGGTCGCATTGGGAGGTGATCGTAAAGCGGGGGTCCATTGTATTGGTAATCAAAAATGCTGTATTCCAAGTAAGATGAGCAAATTAGCAAGCCTTTCAAAATTAGTTATACTAATGCTATAATCCAAATGTGCATAAATAAAATACCTAACAAATTTTGGGTCACAACAAGACCCCCTTTTACCCAAAATTGTGTTGGAATGAAATGCCAAGTAAACAACTCTAATGTTCTACTTGTCATTTATTATCAAGTGTAATATGAAACTCACACCACTGCTTTTCATTATCTCAGTTTTAATCTTACTTTCCAGTCATTTCAATGGCATATGAAATGTTCACATATGAACTGAGGTAGGATAATGCCTCTGGAAATTACAACAGTGTATGAAATGCATTAAGTAAAAAAAAATTCTGCTTATAAATCCCACAAATTTAAGTTAACTATGTTTATCTAACACCTTCACAAAAATGGTTTCCCTGCCATACTCAATCATGTATATTATTGAATATTCATAATATAAATGTTATCGAAGTTTAATGCAGGGAATACTGAGATACCAATCATGTATAAAACTTCCTTGGAATCTAGGTATTACAGCAGTAACTCTAAACAGCTCAAACTGTAGTAACACCCCATGACATTGTAGGACCTGACTTCTGCCAGTATTATAGTATAATTAGGCAGTAATGGCTAATCAGAAATATTTCACACCTTATCCAATATATATAGAGCAGTAGCCTGGAACCTAACCTGCTGTATAAGCAGGGTCTTCCTGTACAGCAGCAGCCCGAAACCTAACCTGGTGTATAAGCGGGGTCCTCCTGTACAGCAGTAGCCCGAAACCTAACCTGCTGTATAAGCAGAGTCTTCCTGTACAGCAATAGCCCAAAACCTAACCTGCTGTATTAAGCAGAGTCTTCCTGTACAGCAATAGCCCAAAACCTAACCTGCTGTTTGAGTGGGGCCCTATTGTATCTACCACCTAACACTGTTCATTCTCAATTTTGGATAGAGGGGTCCAACTACATCACCTTAATATAATACAGTCCAGTACAACATCTATTATCTATACAAAATAATTCCAATTTATAAATTAATATGGACAGGAACAAAGTATTTTTTCTCTACAGTGTATATGCAAATTTACTGAAATTATAACAAACCTCACCTATATCCCTTTTCCTTAAGAGTATAAGCTGGAGTGTCAAGAGGGAGGATATCAGTCTCAACGTTGAGTTCCCGAACGCGACGGTCAATGACTTTGCCATACTGGGCTCCGGCGTCCAAGATGGCCACGCGTTCTCCTACAGATCCATTCATGGCTGTGGTTTCCTCGTTGCTGTTGTGGCTGCCGTTACTACTGCTCCCGCTGCCCTGCCTGCACCCACACCACGCCAGCCGGCACTGCGCCACAGAGAAACATAAACAAAATTCCTGAGTCATTAATATATGGAAGACATCACAAAACACATGATTGCAAATATGAAAAAAAAAGTGAAAATAGGAAACAGAGCCTATTTTCACTATTTTTTTCATATATACATACATTATATATATAAAATGTACATATATACACACACAGTGCAGTACATCAATTGAGGATTAGGACATGTGCAATAGTTGGGTATCTTTACCCAACTATTGCACATGTGTCTTAACCCTTAAACGGTCCAAACGTATATATACGTTTTTTCAACATCTGAAAGTATGTAAAAAAATGTAATCTTCTTTTTTGTTTTACATTTGAAAACGAGTAAAAAAACCTTTATCTACATTTTTTTTTTTGTTATATTTGAAAATATGTAAAAAAATAGTAGATCTACTTTTGTAGCACTACGGATTTGAAAGTCAATCTCTTTGGACCGTTTAAGGGTTAATCATCAATTATCTTGTTGATATTTTATACCATTATGAACAGTACATCAATTAATTTACCTTACTCTACATCCAAACTGTTAGGAGAAAACTCATGCTCCATTTATGCCATTATTAGTATACATCCTTCATATTGTCCTGTCTCAAATACAATCTATTCTCCATCGTCATCTATGCATGGAGTTGCCAAAACATTAATGAGTGACAATGTCTTGTGTTGCCAGATTTAAGCAACCTGTTTGTGTTATATTTTTTTTGTTTGTTGTGGTTGGTTAACCGCAGCATACATTTACTTATAATCTTAATTCCGCTAGAAATACTTTGCATAACTATGGGCTTTACTATATATATACATCCTTAAATCATGCAATCGCACAGAAGTACATGTGCAACCTCTTGGTCAATATATTGGATTATTGCTTTATTACACAAACAACCGGCATATAAGAGAATGAAACTTTTGACGCTTTGGTCTGACTTGGTCCAAGCCAGACCAAAACATCGCCATGAGTTTCATTCTCCTTTGTGCAGGTTATTTTTGTATTGTTCCAGTCACTGTATTGTGCCTTTTTCATTCTTTGTTTATTTCCTAAGAATATAAGTAAGGAGGAACACTGCAGCAGGTCTACTGGCCCATACTAGGCAGGTCCTTCTCAAACACAGACCCACTAACAAAAATATCTGCCCAACCCATTTTCAACCCAAGCAATAAGCTTTGATAACCCTATTAACTCGTGTGCAAGTCCCACTTGAATCCAACCTCTCTCATGTATTTATCTAATCTGGTTCAAAAAGACATAAGCAAATACCAGGACATATTTATTAGAAAATGTTTCGGTCCTGGGATCTTGATCACTTCTCAAAGTCCAAGGCCCAAAATTTTTTCTAATGTTATAATGTTTCTAGTATTTGCTTGTGTGTCTTTCTAAACCAGCTTGGTGGTATCAATTACCATTTAATCTAAATTAAAAAAAAAAATAAAAATAGCGCATTTCAGATTTGACGTTCTACAGATCAAGCAGAAATAAACGAGCTGCAAGTAAAATTACTCCTTCCATCTAGAGGATTGGACAATGAGCAGTACTGTGAGTTTATCATAATGAGAAGAATTATATACAGTGGACCCCCGGTTTACGATCAGCTCCCAATGCGACCAATTATGTAAGTGTATTTATGTATGTGTGTTTGTACGTGTATGTTTGGGGGTCTAAAATGGACTAATCTAATTCACAATATTCCTTATGGGAACAAATTCATTCAGTACTGGCACCTGAACATACTTCTGGAATGAAATAATATTGTAAACCGGGGGTCCACTGTATTTACAATGAGTAGTATTGTGAGTGTATCACAATACAAGAGTGCCTGAACATTGTTCAATTTTTTCCTCTATTGCCATTCATAAAAGAAATTATGGTATTTCACGGCTTACAAGACTTGCTTTACTTTCAATGGCTTGGCATCGGAAGTAACTGGAAGAGCTACAGCCCACCCCACACCCCAAACTTTTAGCTCCCGCCACTGACCTTCAGTTTATAAGACGCAGGGTGGTTTTTGGAGACATTTTTTATTTTTTTTTTATTATCACACTGGCCGATTCCCACCAAGGCAGGGTGGCCCGAAAAAGAAAAACTTTCACCATCGTTCACTCCATCACTGTCTTGCCAGAAGGGTGCTTTACACTACAGTTTTTAAACTGCAACATTAACACCCCTCCTTCAGAGTGCAGGCACTGTACTTCCCATCTCCAGGACTCAAGTCCGGCCTGCCGGTTTCCCTGAACCCCTTCATAAATGTTACTTTGCTCACACTCCAACAGCACGTCAAGTATTAAAAACCATTTGTCTCCATTCACTCCTATCAAACACGCTCACGCATGCCTGCTGGAAGTCCAAGCCCCTCGCACACAAAACCTCCTTTACCCCCTCCCTCCAACCTTTCCTAGGCCGACCCCTACCCCGCCTTCCTTCCACTACAGACTGATACACTCTTGAAGTCATTCTGTTTCGCTCCATTCTCTCTACATGTCCGAACCACCTCAACAACCCTTCCTCAGCCCTCTGGACAACAGTTTTGGTAATCCCGCACCTCCTCCTAACTTCCAAACTACGAATTCTCTGCATTATATTCACACCACACATTGCCCTCAGACATGCCATCTCCACTGCCTCCAGCCTTCTCCTCGCTGCAACATTCATCACCCATGCTTCACACCCATATAAGACCGTTGGTAAAACTATACTCTCATACATTCCCCTCTTTGCCTCCAAGGACAAAGTTCTTTGTCTCCAAAGACTCCTAAGTACACCACTCACCCTTTTCCCCTCATCAATTCTATGATTCACCTCATCTTTCATAGACCCATCCGCTGACACGTCCACTCCCAAATATCTGAATACATTCACCTCCTCCATGCTCTCTCCCTCCAATCTGATATCCAATCTTTCATCACCTAATCTTTTTGTTATCCTCATAACCTTACTCTTTCCTGTATTCACTTTTAATTTTCTTCTTTTGCACACCCTACCAAATTCATCCACCAATCTCTGCAACTTCTCTTCAGAATCTCCCAAGAGCACAGTGTCATCAGCAAAGAGCAACTGTGACAACTCCCACTTTATGTGTGATTCTTTATCTTTTAACTCCACGCCTCTTGCCAAGACCCTCGCATTTACTTCTCTTACAACCCCATCTATAAGTGCATTACACAACCACGGTGACATCACACATCCTTGTCTAAGGCCTACTTTTACTGGGAAATAATTTCCCTCTTTCCTACATACTCTAACTTGAGCCTCACTATCCTCGTAAAAACTCTTCACTGCTTTCAGTAACCTACCTCCTACACCATACACCTGCAACATCTGCCACATTGCCCCCCTATCCACCCTGTCATACGCCTTTTCCAAATCCATAAATGCCACAAAGACCTCTTTAGCCTTATCTAAATACTGTTCACTTATAAGTTTCACTGTAAACACCTGGTCCACACACCCGCTACCTTTCCTAAAGCCTCCTTGTTCATCTGCTATCCTATTCTCCATCTTACTCTTAATTCTTTCAATAATAACTCTACCATACACTTTACCAGGTATACTCAACAGACTTATCCCCCTATAATTTTTGCACTCTCCTTTGTCCCCTTTGCCTTTATACAAAGGAACTATGCATGCTCTCTGCCAATCCCTAGGTACCTTACCCTCTTCCATACATTTATTAAATAATTGCACCAACCACTCCAAAACTATATCCCAACCTGCTTTTAACATTTCTAATAAGCTGCGGAATATGGTACATTGACTATAAGTCAGTCATAATGTGGCAGCAATGTGTCAAGTGCCACAACTCTGGTTGGCACTTGACTGATCACACAACTTAAGTCCATTCAACTCACTTTCAACTGGGAAGTGACAATTAAAAACTTTAGGTTACACTTGCCTACAAACACCTGAATCCATGCAACTTAAGTTTCATTTTGTCCACAAAAACACACAAACACAAAAATACACACCACACATGCACATCAAACCAGCCAGCCCCACACGCAAGAAATATCTAGTGGAATGGAAATCATTATACGACAACCCAGAACTTCTCCATGAAATGAAAATCATGCATGGGGATGCCTAACTTCCTCATGATGGAGGAGAAAATTTCTCAGTGGAATGAGAATGATACACACACAAGAGAATCAAACTCAATTGAATAAATATGAACGCCAATGAAAGGAGCCTTGCCCATGGCCAGACTCTGGGAGTACTCTCTCGAAACTCATCAAAGGTATATCAAAGGTACAATGAATTTAATAAATGTATGAAATTTTTCAATTCATGATAATTCAGACTACAAGCACAAAAACTGTCCACAGTACTATATATACAACAAAAATTTACCATCCTTAGATAGTGACACACTGGTGATACATTTATTATTAATTTTATTTTATTATTATCACACTGGCCGATTCCCACCAAGGCAGGGTGGCCCGAAAAAGAAAAACTTTCACCATCATTCACTCCATCACTGTCTTGCCAGAAGGGTGCTTTACACTACAGTTTTTAAACTGCAACATTAACACCCCTCCTTCAGAGTGCAGGCACTGTACTTCCCATCTCCAGGACTCAAGTCCGGCCTGCCGGTTTCCCTGAATCCCTTCATAAATGTTACTTTGCTCACACTCCAACAGCACGTCAAGTATTAAAAACCATATGTCTCCATTCACTCCTATCAAACACGCTCACTCATGCCTGCTGGAAGTCCAAGCCCCTCACATAATGTTATTTAAAATACTGAGCTTCCACCTCCTCCTGTGGTTATTTTCCATGTATTTTACAGTGAAATAGAGGTAATCAAGATGTACAAAGGCATTTTAAAATCAGAATGAATAAAATTGAATCCAACTCAATACTTTGCACTGACAGCACAGGACAGGGTGTCTTGGAGCTCTGTGGTGGAACCTTGAGCTCATAAAAGGACCTAGGTCTGATCCAAAGGCAGGTAGAGAGAGCACTAAATAGGTACTACCTGGT